CTGGGGTTGTTCAGTCTGGAGAAGAGGAGCCTCAGAGGAGACCTCATCAATCTCTACAATCACCTGAAGGGAGGTTGTAGTGAGGTCGGTTCGACCTCTTCTCTCGTATAGCTAGTGACAGGATAAGTGGGAATGGCCTCAAGTTGCACCGAGGGAGAATCAGGCTGGACATTAAGAAATACTACTTCTCCAAGAGAGTGGTCAGGTGCTGGAATGGGCTGCCCAGAGAGGTGGTGGACCAACCCTAGAAGTCTTTAAGGAACATTTAGATGTTGTGTTGAGGGACATGGTTTAGTGAGAACTATTGGTGACAGGCAGATGGTTGGACTGGATGATCTTGTAGGTCTTTTCCAACCTTGGTATATCTGTGATTCTATGATTCAGCATGCTAACTTAGGGTGACATTCCACGCAGACCTGTTCTAATGCATTAGTTATTTTTCGTTCCTTGCCTATGTTTGCAGGCAGTACTGGGAGAGAAAAGGAAAAATTTCCTACTAAATTAGTTAGAATCTTTACAGTTCTGGAAAAGTGCCTTAAAAATCACCCTTTAAGGAGCAGTGGGCACGCACACAACCAGTACACACAAGTATACTTTGGTGCCAATTCTGTTGACATCATTTGGGTTGGATACTTAGCCAAACAAATGTCTCTTGCAAATCTGGCTTTTGGGGTGTTAGTCCTACAAGTATTAACCTGCATTCCCAGGATTCATTCTGAAATGAGATGCAAAAGAGATTAAGCCACTCACTTGAGTTGCCTATGTAAAAAGCATACGTTCCCAGAGGAGAGGAAATGCTTTCTCTAATTTAATTTTGCCATGCACACCACAAACATCCTCTCTTGTATGTCTTCTTTTGTATTTGTTCTTCTACATCATTAATTGAATAATAAACATCCCCTTCGAGATGTGCAATTAAAACTAGAACAATTAATTTCTTCCAATCTAGTAACAAATCACCCACCTGTAAAAAACAACCCATGGGTAAGAATAATAAGGCAATACTTTAATTGTTGTTATTTGCTACCTGAACACAAGCCCAGATTTGTAATCACACAGCCTTTAGCACACCGAGGACACAGCAACAGTACACAGGCTCTAGTAATGACACACTTCCACTGAGTACCCTCTTTGGATTAGGAAATGCAAACAGTCATTTGCCTTTCTTTCTTATCCCAGACATCTCACATCAGCTGCCTTGCTGAAGGAATTCCTGTTGACACAGATGTTTTTATATTCTCTCTGTATTTGATTTTTAAATCAAATACCCCTTCCAAAACAAATCCAGTTCCTCCAGACATCAAGCTGCTTCAGTAACTTTGTTTCAACAAACACCATTAACAAAGGTAGTTGGAAACCCCCATCATTTAGTAAGTTGCTTCTTTATAAAAGGGAAACAAACAGGAAAACATAAGTATCAGAACTCTTTCCCACTCCCATCACATCCCAGCCAACAAACTTGTTGTGCTTGCTAAATCAGAAACCTTATGAGGAGTCTTAGGAAAAAAATAAATAAGGACAAGACATGAAAAACAATGTAGCCAATAAAAGCTCACTGGATATTTAAAGAATTAGTACACTGTTTCAAAGCAGTATTTTTCTAAGGGGAATATCTGGTTTATTTATAGAATGGTATATTCAGAATATAATACTCGAGATATTTGATTCTGTGAATTATTCTAGAGAGAACTCCATAATAATATCACAGTATCTTACTTCAGTAACTCAGGAGGAGTCATCATGAAAAGCCAGCAGTACTACCTCTCTTCCAATGTAAGAGTACCAGCAACTTACCAAGCTGATAAAAACGCAGTGGTCCACCCATCAGTGTTTCCATACTGATAAACAAATACATCCTCCTGACTGTAAAATAAACATTTTGCTCCTGTACCTGCAAACATATTAAAAACAGTCACACTCAGCAGACAGTACTGGCGAATGACTTGTAAGTAAAATGAAGTCCATGTACAAAGAATTATTTTAACCCTTTCAGCACACTGGAGGAAAAGGCACTGGCACTGATACAGTCACTGTTATCATCCTAGGTGGTGTTCCTTAGAACAGACAATCAGTTTTCTTTTCCTCTCCCCTCCCTTCCCCTCCTCAAATGGAAAGGACTCTTACAATTTCAAAGAAAATAAATACCTCCAGCATTGTATGACTATTTGTGCAAAACAAATAGTTTTGCAGAATAGTTAGAATTTAAAATTGCGACAAAGCATATTATGCTCCAACTCAACACATTATTTTAAAGGATTTTTGGTTTTTCTTTTTTCTAATTTGCTTATCTGAGACACAGTTCCTCCTCCACTCAAAGCTTTAGTGTGATTACAGGAAGTCATCTGTGCAACTGATAATCATAATTACAAAATAATAAATTCTTCCACAGATGAAAAGAAGGTTCTTTTTCATTTCAGCTTGGTTCATTGTATTTATTTGTTGAAGCATGAAGAATATTTTGGAGATTTAAAATGCCCTCTTCCCCGTTTTCAATCAAAACTAGAAGTGATGGATAAGAAAATATGATTTACACTTTACACAGACACAGAATCATAGGGGTTGGAAGGGACCTCTGGAGATCACCTAGTTGAACTCCAGTCTTTAAAGTTGGTCACTGATATCAGCAAGCTGGAAAGCAATTAATTGCCAATGTGTACCAAGTCTGTTTATTGTTGGCACTAGTAAATCATACAGAAAAAAATAATTTGACTTTCCCATTCAGATCAAGCTTACAGATTTCAGAAGTAGAAGAAACATATTTTCTGCTTTCAACAAGCTTTGTCCAGAAACTACACAGAAAACAATGTTATTTTCACAGTGACTTTAAGGAATTATGCAATAACTGGTCCACCACAGACCCCTGCAGTATATACAGTCATGAATAACTATCATACTCTTGAATATTTCTTACATATTCTACAGTTCAGCACCTTAGAATACATAAGAAAAATGTGTCCAAACACGTTGCTCTACGAGTCTGCACAGCTGCTTAAATCTATATATCCTTGGCAAACTAATCAATGGCAGTGGAAATTCAAAGAGAAAACCATTTCTGTCAGAACTGTTACTAGCTTTTGTCACTCCTTACAGCCTCAGCAACCCTGAGAGAGAAGCCAGGGAAATACCTGTGACTCCAATCTCAACTTACCTCATCAGCCAGCTCCAACACAGTAACTGGGTTGGGTACTCCTGGGTGCTGCTTGAAGTCTCCAGCACTTTCAAAACTCAGCTTCACAATTCCACCTCATTTGCAGAGGCAGATCATCTTTAACTTGAGTTCAGGCTGTTCTGGAATGACTGTTTCCAATCAAGAAAAAAAAAAAAATAACGATGATAGCAGTTTCTGAAGTTTTGAAAATCACTGGCTTGTATTTCAGAAATGCTTCATGCCATGAAATTAGAAAACACACCATATTCTTTGAAACAAACATTGCATGCTTATTTATAGAAATCTACATATTGGAATACTGAGAGGGGCAGGTGGACATGGAAGAGATGCCTTATGTATGGAAGTCAGCAAAGGAATGTTCTAATCCTACACTGGCAGTATGGTATATGAACCAATTTTATTACAGAAACCACAGAAGTGAGAGAACTTCTCAGTCTGGAGAAGAGAAGGCTCAGGGAAGACCTCATTGCTCTCTACAACCACCTGAAAGGCAGGTGGTGAGGTAGAGGTCGGCCTCTTCTCCCAGGTAACAACAACAGGATGAATGGTAATGGCCTCAAGTCACATCAGGTGAGGTTCAGGTTGGTTATTTGGAAAAATTTATTCTCAGCAAGAATGGTGAGGCAGTGGCACAGGCTGCCCAGGGAGGTGGTGCAGTCACCGTCCCTGGAGGTGTTCAGGAGCCGTGTGGATGTGGCACTGAGGGACGTGGGCAGTGGGCATGGGGGGGGGGAGTGGGCTGATGGTTGGACTGGGTGATCTTAGAGGTCTTTTCCAACCTTACTGATTTTATGCTCTACACTGCACAGGCTTCAGCTCAAGTAGCGTGTGCAGTTTTGGGCCCTACAGTACAAGAAGGACACACAGAACTATTAGATGAGGGAGGGCTACAAAGATGGCGAAGGGTCTGGAGGGCAAGGTGTACGAGGAGCGGCTGATCAAACTGGTCCCTCGCTGTGCTCAGCCCAGAGTGGAGGAGCTGAGGGGAGGCCTGATGGCGGCTGCAGCTCCTCACAGGGAGCGGAGGGGCAGCGCTGAGCTCTGCTCTGTGTGACAGCGACAGGGCCCGAGGGAACGGCATGGAGCTGTGTCAGGGGAGGGCAGATGGGGGTCAGGGAAAGGTCTGCACCACACGGCGGTGGGCGTGGAACGGGTGCACAGGGCTGTGGGCACGGCCCCGAGTGCTGGAGTTGAAGGAGCGTTTGGACAACTCTGTCGGATATAGGATTTGAACGCTGATGCTGCTGCATGTAGCTCGGAGCTGGGCTCGATGATCCTGAGCGCACAGCCCGCCCCTGCAACAAGCTGCTCGGATTCAGCCCCAAACGAGCTGCTGGGGACGCGGATGTCGACCAACGGGACGCAAACAGCAAGAAGCGGCATTTCCAGGAAATACCCGCCCCCCCGCCTCCCTCACCGCACGCGGCCGAGCTGGCCCCGCAGATTCCGCTCCCCGAGGCAGGGCTGGGACGGGACACCGCACGCTCTGCCCCTGCGGCCGCCCCAGTGCCCGCGCTGCTGCTGCTGGGGTCCCCTCCCTCCAACGGCGCGGTTCCGACGCCCAGGACCAGAGCCGGCCGGCCCGGCTTCGCCCCTAACGGGGATCTCCGCGGCCGTACCTCGCAGCGGGCGCCATCCTTACGCTGTACGGAAACCGCGCCCGGCGGCTCCCCGCAGCTCCCCGCCGGGCTCGGTCAGAGCCGCGCGCTGAAGCGCCCCGCGGCGCCGCTAAGGGCGAAATGGGCCGTAGGGCGCTACGCTGCGCAGGGAGCGCGGCCCCGCCCGCCCCGCCGGAGCGACGCTTCGGGGGCGGGACGAACAGCGTACGGCTGCCGGCTTGGGCGGCTGGGCTGCTCGCTGCTGCTGACCGACGCTCCGCCCCGCAGCTCGGTTGGCTCCCGGGTTCGGCCTTGGAGTACGTTCGCCAAACGCTTCCTCGCTCTGCTCGTTTCGGTTTCACGCAAACGCCTCAGCCGTCTCTTTGATTGCTGTGTTTATTTATTTGTTAATCACGAGGGAAGCGTTCGCAGAGAACTGCCAAAGCCCCTGATGGTGACGTTCTTCGTTCGCGGCCTCTTTGTCCTCAGTGCAGGGCTGCGTGCTGCTGCGCACATCCTTTAGCGGGTATGCAGATGGCTGAGGTGTCCTCTGGGCGAGTGCATCCTGACAGCCGAATGTATTAAATATAAGTCGTATCGAGCGCTGTGAGGGTTATTCACGAGAAGATCTTTGTACTTAGGAGGAAATCCTTTCCTCAGAGGGCAGTGAGGCGCTGGCACAGCTGCCCAGAGGAGCTGTGGTGCCCCATCCCTGGAGGCGCTCGAGGGCAGGTTGGATGGGGCCCTGGGCAGCCCTACCCACAGCAGCATTGATTTGTCTCATGGGACAAGTGTTACATGTAGCATAATTACTTGTTTTTGGACTTCCATTTTTTAAGGGGTCTTGGAATTGTCCAAGCTTCAAAGTTGAAAAATTCCAGTTCCAAACTGACTTCTGAGAGGTTACCTGGAAGCAGCTTCAGGAAAGAAAATTGAAGGACAGTATGTATCTTAGCAATCCTTCTGAGTAATTCACTCAGATCCTACCTCTGCAAAACTATAGATCTTATAACTTGCAATTTTTATTTTCGTCTTGTCTCACTTATCCTTAGCGCTGATTTTTTTAAAGGCTGTTTTACACGTGATGGGAAAGGGATGTCATCCAGATGGACCTTGACAAACTCAAAAGATGGGCCCATGTGTACCTAATGAGGTTCAACATAGCAAAGTGCAAGGTGTTGCACTTGGGTCAGAGTAATCCCAAATACATACACAGACAGGGAGAACTCCCTGAGAATAGCCCTACTGAGAAGGACTTTGGGGTCCTGGTGGATGAAAAACTGAACATGAGCCAGCAGTGTGTGCTTGCAGCTCAGAAGGCCAATGGTATCCTGGACTCCATCAGGAGGGGTGGCCAGCAGGGACAGGGAGGTGATTGTCACCCTATGTTCTGCTCTTGTAAGGTCCCATCTGGAGTACTGTGTTCAGGTCTGAGGCCCCCAATACAGGAAAGATGTGGAGCTGTTGGAGGGGGTCCAGAGGAGGGACACAAAGATGATCAAGGGGCTGAAACACCTCTCCTATGAAGATAGGCTGAGGGAGCTGGGCTTGCTGATCCTGGAGAAGACTGCAAGGAGACCTCATTGCAGCCTTCCAGTATTTAAAAGGGGATTACAAAAAGGAGGGGAATCAACTTTTTACAAGGATTGACAGTGATAGGACAAGGGAGAATGGTTTTAAGCTCAAGGAGGGAAGGTTCAGATTGGATGCCAAGGAGAGAAGTTCTTCACAGAGAGAGTGGTGAGGTTCTGACACAGGCTGCCCAGAGAGGCCGTGGATGCTCCATCCCTGGAGGTGTTCAAGAACAGGTTGGATGGGGCCCTGGGCAGCCTGGTCAAAACCAGATCTGGAGGTTGGTGGCCCTGCCTGTGGCAGACGGGTTGGAACTTGGTGATCCTTGAGGTCCCTTCTTGGGCCATTCTATGATTCTATGATTTTTCTAGTATTTTGTTAACTGCTTTATCAGCACTATCTGTAGTGAACCCTCTTTCTAATTTCCTGTAATCTTTGCAGAAACTTCCTGAATCTGCTGCTATTTCCTGCACATGACGTGAATTTACTGGGTAGATCTCTTGGTCTCTGAGCACTTTGGGCTGAAGACTCTGAAATTCACCTGTACTTTTTTTCCTCTATTTATTCCCTTCTCCTTTTTTTTTCTCCTGATCACTCCTTTTCTCTCCTTTTAACTATAAATATAGTTTGTAATTCTTTAGACTATAAATATAGTTCAAACTGTGATTCATAAGTATTTTTAAAGAAAATTCTTCATGTTTCTCACTAGCCTTCCTCATTGTCTCCAGTGATATTGCCTGATCATCCAGTAAGTCTTCTGTCTGGCCTCAGTGCAGCATGGATGAACCCTGGATAAAGAGCAGTTTTCCTGGTTATTTATATCTGCTATGTCTATTTATATTGCTATATTTTCATTTTTTTTTGTTTTTATTTTGTTCTGAGCCCAGCTGCTCAGACTGTTCCGAAACCTTGGTGAATCCAAAATTAGGAAATATATCTCCTTAAAAAAAAAATATTATGTACAGTCTAGTAAAAATTTTTGTGTACTCACATATAGGATCAGAAAAACACAAAAACCTTGCAAGGTGTGAGAAGCAATTTTTAAGTCTTTCCCAAATAAACAAATTGGAACGCAGCCTTTTTTGGCCTGAAGGTGATGCTATTTCTCTAGGAAAAAGAGTTGGAAAAGATAACGGAGCACTTCAGAAGTACTTCAGGAAGTGCTTCCACTAAAGTTAGATATAGACCTATTTGGGTTCTCAGACTTAATAAGATTCTAGAGATGTGTTTCATGAGTAATTTGGAAGGTTGAGACTTCTCTTAGCAGAACTCAAATGTATCATCAAACCTTCTAACATGATGGACAAACACTTAAAATGAGAGAGATTTCCTTCTTTTCCCTTTTCATTTTTGTTTTCCTTTTCCTCTCCCTTTCCCTTTCTCTTTCCCTTTCCTTTTTTTAGATCCAATGTCTTTTCATCTACATGGGGAAAGATACTTCCATGTTTGCAGATGATGGGTTATCCATTTGACTTTCTTTAGCCTATGCTTCTACACCTGTGATGTATAGGTTCTTGCTATCTCTAGAATCACAGAATCATAGAATTGTTTAATTTGGAAGAGACCCTTAAAGATCACCTTGTCCAATCCCTCTGCAATGAACAGGGACACTTACAGCTACATCAGGTTTTTCCATGCAGCCTTGTCCAGCATGACCTTGAATGTTTCCAGGGATAGGGCATCCACTGACTGTCTGGGCAACCAGTTCCAGTGCTTCACCATATAGCTTCTGCTTTCTTAGCCTTATGTGCCTTGCACTATATCCTGCCTGTTGTGCACAATGAGTCATTCAGGTAATGGAAAAAGTAGCTTTCGTCGCACATATGGATATAAAAGGGGACTGCTGCCGATTTCTGATCCCTAGCTAGGATTTCTAGATGCTTCTAGCAGAGATGACATATACTACCTCTCAACATTGTTTATTCCAGAGAACCTTAAACTTTTCTTTTGAAACCACTACCTGAAAAAACCTTAATTGTTGTCTTGAAAGGATACACAGATTGAATCTTTGCACCTGTTATCTGCAAAATTTAGTTAGATCTCACCATGTATTATTACATGGAGAATCAGAAGTGGGAACATGATGTCCCTCCTTTGAAAGGGGCATGTTGAAGAAGAATGGTGACTCCCTGCTCTCCAGTCAATACCTTTCACCTCAGAGTCTGTCCTGTATGTCAGAGTCTTTGTCTGAAAGAAAAGGAAGAACTAAAGATTGGAAGCACTTGCTCAGCTTTTCTAGGGAGTTGAATGTGTTTTCTAAAATATAACCTGTGTTTGAAAACAGAGAACTTTCATTTCTGGCTGGCTAATCAGTATTGGAAGCTCCCACATTGGCTGTGTTAACAAAAGTATGGTTAAATTTCTATGTAACTTTATAAGACAGATAAGAAAGCAATGCTAGACAATACTTTCACGTGACCCCATGCTTTGGCTACAGGCTTCTTCTGTTTTAAATGAGATGAGAGGAGACCCTGTGAAGTGGAATTGTGGTAGAAGCCAGCAGAGAAGGGAAGCAGTAAGAACTGAGGCACTCAGTAGTTACAAGTAAAATAATACAAAATAGGTCATTTACAGAATATTTTCTTATGTTTAGAGTGATTTCTACAATGGGCTCTTCCAGCACCTAGAGACAATTCTGTATCATCACCCAACAGCACTGAATATAATGAAAACAGCCATGGGAACCTTCATACAGAACTCCAGAGAAACATCCATTTCCAGCCATGGAGTAAGCCTTGGAAGAAATTCTGGTACAGTTTGCTTATAAAATATATGTGGCAAATTGGATTTGATGCCATGGTACATCATACAGCTGAGTCAGGATATGCTTTGGCATTGCACTGGCAGCAAGATTTGTACCTGGCCTGTAGCCTTCACTGCCTGCAGTGTGATAACTGGCAATATAGGTAGAGCTGGTTTAGCCAAGTTCCACGTGAAATCATGTCACCTCTGTGAAGTCAGTTAACCCAGTAGGGTCTGGACTAAGGCAGTGCAAAACTCAGTCTCTGGTGATGAGATAATTTGAAGTGTCTTATCTGAATTTTCTTACCTGAATAAATAGCACAGAACTATAAAATACCAAATGCTGATCTCTGAGAAATAGTATGATTTTTTTTTTTTTTCAAAATACTCGGTTTTGGAAGAGCTTTAATCTTTCATTAGGACCTGGTAGGGGTAGTGAGCTTCAGGCACTGCCTAGTCCAGGAGGATATGATAACATATTATTCCCAGCATTACTTTCACAGTTTTCTCAGATACATACAAACATAGAAACATGTAATGAGTGTTACTCAAAGCATAGCATGTATCAGTTGGGATTTCCCCGTCTGCAAGTTTAAATTCAGCAGTGTCCCTAGAGGTTAATCAACGTTGATGGCAATTACTCTTGGTTCACACACCGAACAAAATGAATGTTTATCTTTTTCCTGTTTTGCTTTGTCTCTTGGCTAAGTAACATGGGTGTAACATGGAAATATCAAAATAATACAAGGATTGTGTTGAAGCTGCAGCAGGCTGACAGAGTAGTTAATTTCTATGATTCTTTGATTCTATGATTTGTTTGGTGTCAGTAACCATCTTCATTGCCTTAATCCTCAGGGAGAAGGAGGATGTGTAGCAGCTGTCCTTGCTGCGGAAGAATGAAGAATCACTACAGTCTTGATTTGAGGAACAGTTCAGACCATATCTTGGGGTTTTATTTCTGCTTTCCCTTTGATAAACTTTAGCCTCTGGAGTGCTTGGGGTTTAGGTCCCTGGGACTTTTGTGGTAGGTGCTGCATCCAGCACGCAATGCACGCAAAGCACAGTATAGTTGCTAAATAGGGGCAATTAAATTTAGAAGTTTCTGTAGCCATGCAGGCACTGACACCCATCCTTGGTCTTTATTACACAAATTAGCTGAGTGAAATAAAGGAGATTATTAAATAATTACACACGTGCATGTGAGTAAAGAGTCTTAAAACATTGGAAAAATACGGTTGAATTTTCCACTGCCCAGCTGTGGGTTTTTCAGCACACGCATTCTGTCAGAATCTGGACATTTTATTTGCAAATGCCTGGCCCGCCTGTTAGTGTGATGTGGAGATTTTCTCTCTTTCCCTGATTATCTGATTTTGAATCAGCAAAATGCTCACTTTTGCCTCGTGCCATCTGAGTAGATGAGAAAAGAGAAAGCGGATGGAGGCAGAAGTTGCACAGTTCTGAGGGACTGCAGTCCCCTACTCTGTGTGCTGGGGCAAATGTGGGAAATGGTCTTCACAGATGTGAGCTGTTGTTTCTGCTTCTGTGGTGTCTTATTCTTCAGAGACCTGTTGTTTCAGGCATTCAGCCTCACTGCTTTGCAGTTTCTCTTCCCTTAACATTTTCTTTCTTGTAAGTAATCACTTAATGGCATGGCAGAGCCCAGGAAAATCACTGTTAATATTATAATAACATAATCTGCAGCTCTGACTGGTATCCTTTAGTTTGGGGAAATAATGTGTAGTTTTGCCAAATCTACAATTGGAATGGGAAACATGTAAAGCTCTGGTCATTTTATTTTACAGTTTGGAACACCCTGTATTAAAGGTACTGGATTTGTAGCAGGGATGTGTTGTTAATTATCATTAGACCTCTGCTTTTGATTAATACTGGTAATTAGTTTCTGTCCTTGACTTTTTCCAATTAAGGAGTAGATGCCTTGGTGCTAAACACCTGGGCATATTGTCTAATTATATGAAAGAAACACATATTCTCTCTGTAGGTAATTATTTTAACTGTCAGTGGTAGTTTTGTACTTAACGGAGGTGGCTCTGTCTCTCTGAGCAACGACACAGGAAGCCTCAAGACACCAGGAAAAATGCTGCAGAATGAACAGAGTGCTGGGTGTGAGCTGCTTCCTGCTGGGTATTTTCTTGACATGAGAGAAAGAATCACCCTTCTACTTCTTGCAGATCTAGGGCTCTGAAAGGAGGAAATAGAACAAAATAAAAACCAAAGGAAAGAAATATAAGACTGCAACCCCATTCATTAAATTAGGTTAGGGGCAAAAAACTTGCATCACATTCAGATGTGGCTGCCTGAATACATCCAAGGGTCTGACACAGTCTGGCTGATGCAGGTATTTGAAGATTCTGTTCTTTCTTCTGATGGAGGGTTAGAAGAAGCAGACCCATATGCAATGGGATCCAGGGCGACCTCAGGAGAAGGAAGAGGATTTGCTTTGAGGAAACAGCCTACTGTTCCCTGGTCTCCTTCCTGAATGAGCTGCCCAAGCCCATCTGAATGTGACATCAGCAACTACCAGGGAGACCTGGCTCTATTGTGTGGACTTGGCTAATACTGTACTGGCCACCACAACCCTGTACGGATCTGGCTCCCTTACTCCCCTCTGGGTTGGGCTAGGTGCAGTTCCTGCCACTCTTTTACTAGCTACTGTGGCTAGAGGTGCTGCTCTTTACAGAAATGGGCTCCTTTTCAGAAGAGAGGACTCTGAAACCCACAGGTTTGATTCTGTTGTTAGTGTCATAATGCACATCCTGGCTGAGGCTGAGACCATGTGATGCAGGTAGTGTATAAGGCATCCCACAGCCTGCTTCTCCAAGTCAGCTCCCACCCCACTTTGTGTAAACGTAGAAGATACAGCTTCAGACCCAATGAGTTTATTTTCTAAATCGAAAAGATAGGGACTGCCATATCTGAGCTAAGGGAGCATAGGTTATCCTTATTTTGATTTCAGGAAAAACAAAACAAAATAAGCAAACAAAATGACCACCACAAAATACACCACCACAAAAAAAAAAAAAAAAAAAAAAAAAAAGTCAACCGCCAACAACCAAAACCAGAAATTGGCACTGAGTTTTGCTTATGTTGTTGAGGACAGAGAAGGTGCTCACAGATGTCAGTGAGGGATTGGGGGGGGAGAGGTGAACAGAGGACTGTAGCACAGGGAGCCAGAAAGAGATTGGGAAGAATGGAGACCATTAATGGCATGTCACATTTCTGGGACTGAAGAGCTTACTGGTGTACAGAAGGAAAGGCAAAGGATTATAATATGTGTTGAGGTGAGGTTGAGGTGAGGTTTTTTCTGTGAGACTTCTGAAGCAGCAGAAGCAGGGGGTTAAGACAAGGGGAAATCAGTATCTTGCCACTCAGAGCCATGACATCCTTACTATCTTTTGTTTCAGGGGTAAGGTTCTTTTTAAACTGTGCCAGGCTTTCAGGACTGAGGATGTAAATCGCTTTTCTCTTCATTATCACAGCTTTCCCTGCTGTTCCTTCTTATGTGTATTGTACGTGGAGATGTTAGAGGGCTCTCAGGTCCCAGAGGAAGCTGATGGGTGTCAGATATGGGACAATTAATAGTTAATCTCAACTGTGCTTGAAAATTTCCTGTCCTGTTCTTCTCTTCTCTTCTGAAATAAATGATGGGGAGCTACATCATTTGCTGACAATGCTTTGTTGTTTCCTTCCCAAGTAAATGCTAACTACCATCCCACAAAGACAGCACAGTAATGCCACAGCCAGCAACCGCATGGTAACTGAGGTGCAGCTGTGCAGTTTGCCTACAGTCACCTACTCAGGAAATGCACTTTAATCACAGAATCGCAGGAGTTGGAAGGAAGCTCAAGAGGTCACCAAGTCCAAACACCCACTAAAGCAGGTACCCTAGAGCAGGTCACACAGGCAGGCATGCAGACGAGTCTTGAGTATCTCAAGGTGCAGGGTTCCCCAACTATAAGGCAGTTCTGTAGAGAACAAAAACACCCAGTAGTTCTTCATTCATATTTTCCTAGCTGATTTGGCAGTATAAATCTGAATGGCAAAAGTAGCAATTCCTTCAAAGCACTTCAAATTCCTTGCATGGAAGCCACTATAAAAGTGCAAAGTATTCTCATGCTAATAATGCATTGTAGTGGGATGTCATGATTCTGCATATAACATCAGAAAACTATCATTTTTCTTGTATGCATAAACAACTCACATTACACTTGTAAATAATGGATGGAAATCCAGAGAGGATTAAAATAAATAAAGGACTAGATATTTTTCAAAGGCTACAGCTTCACAATTCCTGGAATTACAAAAGAATGACACGTTTACTAAACTTTATTTTAGAGAAACCTTAGCATCTATTTACTTTGAAAATCTTTTTTTTTTTTTTTTACCACAATCTACATTTTACACTTGCAAACATGATGGCAGATCCCACAAAGCAGCCAGTTCTGATAATCCCTCTGTAAAGCTGTCCAAAGTATCTTTGAGTTACACTTGATGAAAACATGAAGTTACAAAGGGGCTCCCAGAAGTTTTGTAGACAGCTAATGTGTTTATTTGGTATTGGATTTTGGTAGCTGTGATTAGCTCAGCATTGTGTCCTTGGGCTTGGGAGACCTTCTATCTATGCATTTATGTTATCTTCATGAGTTGCATTTTATTTTCATGACTTCTTCTGGTATGAATTTCTTTTTCGTTTTTCTTTTTTCTTTTCTTGAAGGAAAACAGGCCTTTATTCAGAAGAGAAGGGAAGAAATAGCTTTTACCTTACCACTTCTTGTTGTGTTTCATGCACAGCCAGAGAACATGATCTCTTCAAAAATGACTCTGACTTGAACTTGGAGGTATGGTTAAACTTGAGAAATTTTGCATTTCCCATGGATAATTGTAATAGTTTTGTGCCAACTTTAATCCACTGAATTTAACAGAAGTGTTCGATGCAGTTAATCTCAAATGTTCAGTGGCAAATCCCCCATATCTGGGATTTAACAGTATGACACTGAGGTGGAAGATATGAAACAGAAGTACTCACATCATCATTTCAAGCAAAATGACAGCTTACTAAGCCACTTATTTAAGTTCTAGAGTTTTGCTGTCAGATGGAAATGTAGTATTACTTTCCTTCTCTGTGCTACAAATCATTTGATTAAAACAATACGTTGTGTTGTGGTTTTTTTTTTCCTCAAAGATCACCACATTTCATTTTCTGGTCTATTTGTTCAGTGTGTACATTTCTCTGTGGCATAGAAAAGAGGTAGGTGACGCTGGATTTTGTTCCTTGCCACCTCTGAGGTAGAATGAAATCCTTGAGCATTATGGGTCACTCACGAGAAAACTCCAGTGTGTTTAATTCAGACCAGATTTTCAGTGAGTCCTTTCTAGAGGAAGGGCCAAAAGAAATGTTCTGTGAGCTCCACACAGTCTGTCTGAACACATTGGCCCCAGACACACATGTTGCTACGAGGTTTTGCAAGTACCCTGAGTGCTGAGAAGCGGGGAAAACACAAAGCTTTTGGTGGCTTGTGCTACACTGGCAAATTAGAGAGAACTGATGATCACATGGCTGGGAAAATGGTTGTTGGTCGCAGGATGACTCAACAAGTGTGATGTGATCTGCCCCAGATTTGGTTCAATCTAGGGGTTTAGAAGAGCAGTGAAACAACCTGTTGTTTTCCTGTCGGCTTAGCTGGTAAGTGCTGAAAGTCTCAGCTGATGTGAGAGACTGTGAGAATTCTGTGAATCTCTTGTGAATGCACAAGAGAGGGAAAGTCCTGGGAGTCTTTGTCTAGGACATCTAAATGTATTCCCTGAGAATTCATTGAAATCCAGGGATGACACTGCTGCTCCTTTGCTGACACAGGGCAGTGCCTGGACTTCACAGTGCTAGCAGATTTGCACAGTGCTTTGAGGATACCTGCCCTATGAGCTTAGGGTGAGCAGATTTCTGATATGCTGTTCCCCATGCTTCTGAAAAGTCCTTTCCATACTTGGTACATTTAGTGCTATTTCAAGGTCTCTTTGTATGGAAATTCCCACCATGTGTATATCTTGCATCTGTCGCACAAGCCGTGCTCAGTCCTCAAGGCTTCTTTTGGCTACCAGGCAAGGAACTGCCCTGTCACTGTATGTTATATTTTTGTAGTCTGCAATGCTTTATTCCAGCTCGGTTATCTCTCTTCTACTACTTCTCCTGCTCGAGAATGTTCCAGCTGGTGACAGACTTTCATCTTTGTCCTATCAAATGAAGCCAACCAACTACTCAATGAAGAGCTGACAATGACATAAAAAACATATTCTATTAAGTTTTCTACTTAACCATGGAAATGTTAGCACACTGCATTGTCACTACCATACACAAGAGAATTCGATGTATATTTCCAGGGAGGGGTAATCAGAAGTTTGTGCACAAATCCCCATGAACAATGCCGTGGGATTTGTGCAGACCTCTGAGCCATCCCCCTTAGTGTATGTGAGAGCATTAACTCGTCATGGATGAATGTGTTATTGACTCTGAGTAAACAGCTCTTTCTAAAGACTCTACAAAGTGTTATCGGTCAGTAATACACAGTAAATAGATGGAGAATTACACTGTGACGGTTTGAACAAAAGAGAAAAAGAGAGGGGTGCAGATAATGAATCATTAATAATCCTGAGTTTTTGTGTTGCTCTTTATAGGTTGCCTGAGGGAGGGAAGTGACAGGGCTCAGACCCCACTATGTGGCATGGACATCAGGCTAAAATACAATTTCTTTTCCATCAAAATGTGGCTCCACTCTGGTATTACCAGACCCAGGCTGATCTGCCCAGGGCTTCCAATCACAGTCATTTGCTATGAACTTGGCTGAAATGCAAAGCTAGTAGAAGAGATCTGAGGAGAAGAAAGGGTCTCAGAGACAATACAGATTCTCCTTTCATGGATTTTTTAATTTTTTTTTTTTTTAAATATTGTGGCTGATAACAACCTACCAGAATGTGTTTGGCCTACAAATACTGAGCTTGTCTTGCTTAGATAAAGAGTATCTTCACACTGCCCTGCTGTCTGTTCCTACATAATGGAAAAGAGAACTCTGATCAGCTGTTTATAACAGAGGAGGGGATATTCTTGGCCTTCAAAATGATATGAAAAAATAGAAGCAGATTTACTTTTACCCAGCTTGTTAACAATTTCCTGATTTGCTTCAATAGAAAACCTCAGACATTCAGAGACTGCTCATACCTTCTTAAATGAGAAAGGTAGCTCA